AAAATATATGTGTATATGTCCATCCTGAAGAATGTTCACAGGTACTTTATTCATTATAACCAAGTGGGGGGAAAAACCTTAAAAACGAAATGTCTATCAACAGGAGAATGGATAGATTGTGGTATACAGTAAGTGGCTAGATTATTATCATCTCTGAATGCATAATAATCTGGCCATCTGGGCTTCTAAAATATATATATTTTAGAAGCCCAGTGCATAAATTTTGGGGTCCGGTCAGCCTGATCAGGGGGAGGGGACATGGGTGGTTGGCCAGCTTGCCTGCTGGTTGAACTCCTGGTAGAGGGGATAATTTGCATATTAGCTTTTTATTATATAGGCTATACAGTGAGTGGCAAGATTATTATGTGTTCAGAAATCATAATAATCTGGCACTCAGTGTATGCTTGCAATGAAATGTTACACAGCAGTCAAAAATAAAGGAACAAATCGCCGGCACCGGTTTGGCTCAATGGATAGAGCGTCCGCCTACGGCCTGAAAGGTCCTGGTTTCGATTCCGGTCAAGGGCATGTACCTTGGTTGCGGGCACATCCCCAGTAGGGGGTGTGCAAGAGGCAGCTGGTCGATGATTCTCTCTCATCGAATCATGATTCTCTCTCATCGACGTTTCTAACTCTCTATCCCTCTCTCTTCCTCTTTGTGAAAAATCAATAAAATATATTAAAAAAAATAAAATTAAAAAATAAAGGAACAAATGATATATGAACAACATGGATGACTGTCACAAATGTTATTGTATTGATCAATAAGCCTGATCCAAAATAATATGCATTATATGATTCCAAATATTTGAATTTTAAGAGGAGGTAGAACTAACTAATTGGGGGTGAGATAAATCAGAATAGTCACCTCAGAGTTGGGGGTGGAAGGACTGATGTTGATAGGAAGTAGGTTAAGAAAACAAACATTCTTGGTGTTTGGGAAATATTCTAATTTGATATGGGTGGTAGCTGCATATACGTATACATAAAATGATCCCATGTTTATACTACTTTGCATTAAAGCTGTGGCAAATAAAATTATACATAAATACAGTAAGTTATATCCTTAAGATTTCTGTACTATATGTACCTCAATGAATGTGTTTTATAGCTCCATTATCTATCTATCTATCTATCTATCTATCTATCTATCTATCTATCTATCTATCTAAAAGCCTAAGTGACTATTACGATCAGTCGCTATGATACGCAATGACCATCAGAGGACAGACACTCAATACAGGAGCTGCCCCCTGGTGGTCAGTACGCTCCCACAGCCAACCTCCCATGGTCCCTCCACCCAGCCAGCTGGCCCCGATAGGTCCTGATTGAGATTGGGTGAGATGGCCCCACAGCCCCCAATTGCCAAGAGACCCCACCCGTGCACGAATTTGTGCACCAAGCCTCTAGTTTTAAGTAATGAAGGAAAGCTACTTTATATACAATATTATACCAAGTACAGTATCTTTAAAATGTTATATATGTTAGTAAAAAAAACAAAAATGAGACAAAATGTACTAAAATTTCACAGTGGAAAGGTTAAGAGCTTGGGCTTTGCTTGCTTAAATTTAGATTTTGTCACTTAATAGCACCATGACTTCTCAAAGCTCCTATTTCTTCATCAGTAAAACACAGAAAATAATATACCTAAGTTGGATGAATGAGATGGCTAAAAGAGACAATACTAGTACACATAAAATACTTGATACCTACTAAATATTAAAGAACTATTTTATGTCAACAATCTCCTCTCGTAATAGGTTACAGATGGTTTTATTTACTACTTTATACCATTCTTATGATTTGTTTTCTTCAGATGATGGAGAACTCTGATGCCAAATCCATAGAATTTTGAAGTTATCCTACAGGCTGTGCAGTCATTAGAGAGTTTTGACAAGGTCAGTGACACAGTAAAAAGCAGCATTAGGAAGGCTGTTGGCGGCAACATGCTTGGTGGACTCAGGGAGGAGTAGATTTGGCAGGAGCAGCAGGACAGCCTTGAAGTGAGGATCTCATGTCATCATTTTAAGCCCCACAATAGCCAGGTAAAATCTAGACTTGTCGTTACCCATTTTTTAATTTTTAAAATATTTTCTATTCATTTCATAAAACTATATGGAATTTCTTTTTTTCTTCCAGATTCATTCATTTATTCTTTCATTCCACAAGTATTCTTTTTTTATAGAGGTATAATTGACATACAACATTATGTTAGTTTCAGGATCATCTCTCTCATGACTCAGTCTTTCTTAAACAACATAATATTTGTATACCGCATATTATGAAATAATCACTAAAGTCTAGTTAACATCTCATGTTTTCAAAATATTTTACAACACACAGATGGTCACAGAGGGCTGCATTTGCTCTATGCCATTATACTAACCATAAGTTTATGTAATTTATAAAACACGGAGTCCTTAAATGTTTCAGTACCACTAAAACAAAATAACTTCCTTTTGAATTTCATAACACCCAGTGCATAGTGTAGACATCTCATGACCAATGCTCCTACTCCTTCCTCTATCCTGCTTATTTCCTTAATATTATTTTATAGTAAATCTGAGAAAATGCAGCAATAAGTCTTCAACATTCAAATACTTTTTAATGTGCTTTGGGAGTAGCTTCAGTCTTTCTCCAGGGCTTGAAAAATCAGTTCCTCAAGAGGTCTGCACAGTGTATATGTGTGAATTTAACTTATGTCTTAATGTCAAATGTGGTTAAGAACTTAGGTTCCAGATTTGAACTAAAAATCAGTATCAAGCAGAAGAAAAGACAAAACAGTATCCACAATATTGCTAGATAAAAACTGAAATCTATAAAGGATCTTTCTTAGAAATAAAATTAAAAGTTCCAATTCCATCAGAATACAGAAACTGCAGGGCAATAAAGGAAATGAGATGTACTGAAGGGTAAAAATGACAGGAAAACACAGAGTAGACTATGACATATCTCTAACTACTAATCAGTTTCAGACAAATAGTAAACATTAGTCTTCAGATAGTTGATAACATCAGCCTGTTTCAGGTGGTTAGTTACCAAGATCTGTGGTCAAGCAAATATTTCTAACAAAATTGACTTTCTTTTTTGGCAGCCAGTAGGCCAGTCAATAATAATGTTGTTTAAGAAAGACTGAGTCATGCCGAAACCGGTTTGGCTCAGTGGTAGAGTGTCGGTCTGCGGACTGGAAGGTCCCAGGTTCGATTCCGGTCGGGGGCATGTAAGTTGGTTGCGGGCACATCCCCGGTGGGGGGTATGCAGGGGGCAGCTGGTCGATGTTTCTCTCTCTATCTCTCTCCCTTTCTCTCTGTAAAAAATCAATAAAATATATTTTAAAAAAAGACTGAGTCATGAAAGAGATGAACCTTTACTTCCATTTGTTATGTTTGTATTATCTATATTTTCAAAGAGTTTTCAATATTGAAACCAAAGAAGAAATTACAAGGGGAAAAAGTTATTCTGAGAGCTAATTTCCAAAAGTCCCCTGCGACTTGGAAGCATGTTAGCAATCCAAAATGACAAAAGCAGAGCATTCCCTAACTGAAATTCGATCACATGACTTAGGATTGTCAATAACAAAGGAAAATCAAAACTAGGATCAATATAAAGTGGTCATGAGACTACAAAGATAAAAACAAACAAAAAAACACTGGCCAGGTATATAGTCCTAAGAGATCCATTCTAAAAACCTACATGAAAGTTTTACTTTACATTAAAATTGATATTCAGTAAAGAATGTTCTATAAAGCCACATAAGGTAGTTTTGGGCTCATCTGCCTTATATTACCCAAACAAATAGAATACAGGAAACCCACAAGCAAAAACCTCAGGCTCTGCCTAACTTGGAGACATTTCCCTCCAAATACTCTTAAGAAATTAAAAATACTAATTCAAAAGATAAATGCACCTCTATACTCATTTTGTAGCGTTATTTACAATAATTAAGATAAGGAAGCAACCCAAGTGTCCGTCAACAGATGATTGGATAAAGAAAATGTGGTACATATATACACAATGAAATATTACTCAGTCATTAAAAAAAATGAAATCTTGCCATTTGCAACAATATGGAAGGACCTACAGGGTACTGAGTTAAGTGAAATAAGTCAGACAGAGGAAGACAAAATACCATATAATTTCACTTATAAGTGGAATCTAAAGAATAAAATAAATGAACAAACAAAACAGAAACAAACAAACTGAAGGTTGTCAAATGGGAGGGAGGTGTAGGGATTGGTATAAAAAAGGTAAAGGGAGTAAGAAGTTACATAACAGTCACAGGATGCAAAGTATAGCATAGGGAAAATAGTCAATAATATTGTAATAACCAGTTATAGTGCCAATTGGGAAGGAGAGTTATCAGGAAGATCACTTCATAAATTATATAATTGTTTTAACCACTATGCTGTACATCTGAAACAAATATAAAATAATATCGAATGTCAACTGTAATTGAAAAACAAAAGTAATTTTAAAAATATACTCTTACAGTCCAAACCAAATAAAAGATACAAGTGTACCAATAATTTATTTCTTTTGTATGTTTTTTTTTTAACTTGGTGATGGTGATGTTGCTTGGGGGGAAGAAGCAAGGGCTGGAAAGATGATTTCAAAGTTCACAGAAAAATAAAGCAATAATACCAGGAAAAATTCTGAAAAAGTAGGGAAGGAATTTATCCTAAAAGATATGAAAACATATTTTGAAACTATAATACTTTAAAAAGCACAGCTCAAACATTAGTAGAAAAACAGATCAATGGTACTGAATAGCCCAGAAATATACTAATGTGATGTAGATAGTGACTGTTTAATAGGAACAAGGTTTCCTTTTGGATGATAAAAATGTAGTGGAATAAGAGGGTAGTGATGGTTTTATAACACTGTTAAATTAACTACTGCCACTGAACTGTACACTGTACAATAGTTAATGGTAAATTCTATGTTATGTAGATTTGACCTCAAATTTTTAAACAAGCTCCACCTTCATCAACCACTCTTACCTGAGAGTTAATATCAGCTCTATATTGTAGCAAGACTGTGACTAGTTCCTTATGTCCTCGATCACATGCCCAATGGAGTAGAGCTCTGCCCTAAAATACAGAAAAAGAGAAATAAATTTGTTAATACAACTGTGAGGCCATATAAAAGATATGTTTTAAGAAAGACAAAGTAATAAGTAAAACTGGGTTAATTATTGTGAGAATGATGATATAAAATGCTCTATGGGGAAAGCAGTAAACTTTTCTAAATCAATGGGAAATCCTGAGTTCTACTTCTAGCCCAATGACGTAGGTCAGCTTGATCAGTTTCCTCCCTAAAGAATGAAAATAAGGAAAATATTTGTTGAATGACTGAGCTGCAAGACAATTCTTTGAAAATTTTAAAGCACTACTTTATAAATGAAAAAGATAGTTTTCTTAAATTACCACATTTACCACTTCTGGTGAAAGAAGTCTATTGGATAAAAAAAAAAAAAAATGAGCACTTAAACATACGCAGAAAATATAATCTAAGTGCAGTATATTTAAATCTGCTAGTTTATTCCTTAAAATGCAAGAAAATTTAATCAGTTTGAAGGTAAGTATTTCCTCTTAATATTCCAAATTGACACTCTTATAATAAATATCTCAAAAACAGTAGTATTGTTTACTTGGTTCTCTAGCTTCAAACTTTGACTGTAAACGCCATTTGTGAAAAAGAACAGATGATTAACAGTTAGGAGAGAAAGTACTAAATATAAAACATTAACTGTTAACTATCAAAGACTCAGAGTTACTATCAACCTGTTAATTCTGTTCTGCACCATCAGAAAATCTTGGTTTAGTTAATGAAAGAAGCTAGTTGGTCCAATGAATAAACAAAACCCCAATAACTAAGGGCTTCTTAGAAGCAGTGAGTGATGTATGGCTTAACACTACCTTTTGAGGGTGGTAGTGATGTTGTCATTTTTAAGAACTGGAATGTGTTTCCACATTAAGTTGAAATCCCTACTTTATGTCATTTTAGAAAAGATTTAAGTAGGACAAAGTGGGATAAAGATGGCTTTAAAGGAAAAAGCACCTTTCAAGAAAGCTTTTCTAAACCCACTTTATCTTCCAGCACCTATTCAAGCACCTATTAGTTCAACTAATTAAAGTAGGATCCATTCTTGAAAAAACAACAAAAAATAAAGACAACTTCTTTCTACAAATTGTTCTTTGCCTTTTCTTTCTTTTGCTCAATTTATTTTTATTTACCTGTCAATATGTTTTCCAATACGCTTTTACTCAAAATCCAAACATGAAGGGAAAGAGAAAATTCAAACATATGGGCAAATCACTCAAAATTTGTTGTAGCAGCAAAACTATTTTGTTCAGAGCTCACTGGGAATTTTTTTAAATGGAGACAATTCTGTAACCCAAGTTAAAAAAAAAAAAAAATGCTCTGTGAAGTAGAGAACAGAGTTTCCTATATTAAAATTTCTGTAACTCTAATGACCTACTGTTAGCAAGGCACTAATTTCAAAACTCTCCATATGAATAACTAGCTATCCTATTAACACCCTCAGAACAAATACCAAAATAGAAAATATCTTATAGTTCAATGTAATTGTTTTACAACTTTTACATTAAAAGAATCATATAACATTTCAAAGTCTCTATTATATTTAGTTCTAACTTTAAATGTGCATTTTATGGCTATTTAGTCAAACTATTAACAAGAATTACTACATAGTTAAAATGATGTGTGATACACTTTCACAGGGCACCTACCAGAACTACCTACCAGAACTACCTACCAGTTAAGTAGGAAAATAAAATATTAATGTATCTAGTACTTTTACCACAAGATAATTTCTACTCTCCACCAGGTTCCTAGTTTCTCCTTAGCATTAACCCAGTAGGGTTACATCGATTAATAATAAAATATAAGTCCTTAGCTGTTCTGATGGGAAAGCAGACAAGCAACACATTTTACTGTTAATGGGAGTTATATTTTAAACTTCCCATATGTGGTGCCAAAAATTTACTTTAGGGGGAACACCTATGACTGGACCTCAGTAGTGATTTCCACTTTGGATATATTTTCCAGCAGGGCGGCACTGTACAGCAATGTTTTAAGGAGGATGATGTGCTCTCAGACACTTATACTATCCTTTTCAACACATTGCTTGACCTGCAATGTAATTAATTTTGGTAACACATTATTTTAATGGTACACTAATTAACCTTGAATTGGAATGAATTCTGACAATGACTTTCTGTAGAAGTGCAGAAGATATCTACATTAACGGTACTAATGATTAATATTAAGCTCAAAAACAAGAACTGGATCAAATATACTTGCAAATAATTAGGCTTTGAAATTTTGCTTTAAAAATGTTTTGTATTTAGCTCTAACCAGACTGGCTCAGTGGATAGAGCGTCGGCCTGTGGACTCAAGGGTCCCAGGTTTGATTCTGGTCAAGGGCATGTACCTTGGTTGTGGGTACATCCCCAGTAGGGGGTGTGCAGGAGGCAGCTGATTGGTTTTTCTCTCATCAATATTTCTAACTCTCTTTCCCTTTCCCTCCGTTTAAAAAAAAAAAAAATCAATAAAAATATTTTGTATTTAAATGAACAAAAACTAGCACAGCCAAGTATCTGAATGGGATGACACTTTACTTATTCAAATAATAAAGTTCCCATAAACATGCTCTAATTTAAGATTATCAGTTCAAGTAATATATGGTTTCTTTCCCTTTTCTCAAGAAAAACATGAATTAAGTGCACATTAATGTTATATCTGTTTAAAGACTTTATCCACATTTATGAAGCATTTCACCTATTTTTATATATAACTGTTTTATTTTCTATGAATGATATAATCTCTGACAAATTTTCAAGTTGAATTTATTTTTACTGCTACCACAAAAAAGAACAACTCTAGTTTTAACAACTCTTCTGCAAAAAGACATCCCAGAAGTATTCAGGAGATAAGGGAGGAAAGCCATTTTTAAAAGGAATCTTTGTTAGGACACCAGAAGACCACACAAGCACTGTTTGGGTTGCTCTGGATAAATTCTGGAATTCAAATATAGTAAAGCCTGGGGAGCATGGTGGCGGGGTTGGGGGAAGAGGGGAGAGGGAAGTTCTCATTTATTAACCAAGCAAAAGTACTAATACTGTCCTACCTCAGACAGATGAATGACTCTAAAGTGCTTTAAAAGTACAGGGTGGCAGCTAACCTATTAAGTGGTATTACTTTCACTTCTGGAAAATACTGGGTTTTAGTATTTTAAATGCTTCTTTGATATCCTTAGTTACTTGTCCTCAAACCACATAATTTTTTAAAAATTATATTTTCTCTGGGATATCACAAATTAAATGAAGACTGTATTGTAAAACAAGTCTTGCCCTAACCGGTTTGGCTCAATGTCTAGAGCATTGGCCTGCGGACTGGGAAGTCCCGGGTTTGATCCCGGTCAAGGGCATGTACCCTGGTTGCAGGCACATCCCCAGTTGGGGGTGTGCAAGAGGCAGCTGGTTGATGTTTCTCTCTCATCGATGTTTCTAGCTCTCTATCCCTCTCCCTTCCTTTCTGTAAAAAGTCAATAAAATATATTTTTTTTAAAAACAAGTCTTGGTGTTTTCATGGTATTTGGAGAACATGGTATTTTGTCAACCATACATATAGTAGACAAAAACATGTTTAAATTTATAAGAAGTGTCACCTCGCCACTGAATCAAAGATAGTATAGTAGAGTACTGTTTAATTAGCAGATGAAATTCTGCAAACAGGTCAACTTGAAAAACTGAATTTCAATGTACAACTGTGGTAGAGATTGACTTTAGTACCAATAACTTGCAATGACTCTGTATCTTCTACCCCATCCCTAACTTCTCCACTTTTCTGCTGCTACTGTATAGAAGTTGCTACAGTGAGAACTCCTAATCTAAACTACCATAATGTTAGTGATGTAAGAGTGAAGGAATAAGCAAGGGAGATATAAGTTCATCCTATATAAAATAAGTAATAACAGCAAAAATAAGTTGCCATGAAAACAGCTCAGATGTCCATTATAAAACAACAGATAAATTATAATCCTACCTAATAAAAGAGTAATATGCAAATTAACATCACTCCGCTATACCCACCTGCCATGCCCATATGCCACGCCCACAATTCAATCAGGAGCGAATATGCAAATAAATCCAACCAAAATGGCGATAGCCACAGAGAGCAGAAGGGAGGCTTGGGTTTCCTGGCAATGGAGGAAGCCAAGCTTTCCGCTTGCTCTTGCCGGCCTAGGCCTCCACTCAAGGCTACAAAGTTTAAATGATAGAAGATACATAAATCCAAACAGAAATGGCAGCAGCCACGGAGCTGGAAAAAGCGGGAGGCTAGGGTTGCTCCTGGCAATGGAGGAAGCCAAGCTTTCCACACACCCCAGCCAGCCCAGGCCTCTGCTTAAGGATACGAAGTTTCAATTATAGAAGATACATAAATTTCAATAGAAATGCTGCCACCAGGAGCAAGCAGAAGGCTTGGCTCTGCTCCGGGCTACAAAGTTTCAATTGTAGAAGATAAATAAACCCCAGATACCAGGGCCTCTGCTTCGGTCGCCAGGGGGCGTGGCTGGCCTGCAAACCACCACAGGCCCCTCGCCCAGGCTGCCCCATGTCCCAAGGGAACCCCACCTTAATCCAGGACATCCTTTAAGGCAAACCAGCTGGACCCCACCTGTGTGCCAGACCTCTATCCTAAATAATAAAAGAGTAATATGCAGATTGACCATCACTCCAACACACAAGATGGCTGCCTCCATGTGGTTAAAGATCCTGCCCCTATGTGGACACAAGATGGCCAGCAGGGAGGACAGTTGTGTGCAATCAGGCAAGCAGGGGAGGGCAGTTAGGGGCGACCAGGCCTGCAGAGAAGAGCAGTTGGGAGGGACCCAGGCCTGCAGGGGAGAGCAGTTGGGAGGGACCCAGGCCCGCAGGGGAGGGCAGTCAGGGGTGGAACAGGCTGGCAGGGGAGCAGTTAGGCATCAATCAGGATGGCAGGGGAGTGGATAGGAAGTGATCAGGCTGGCAGGCAGAAGTGGTTAGGGGCAATCAGGAAGGCAGGC